TGTGCCCAGGAGTGCCTCTAGGGGTCAGTGAAATGTTTTAAGTTCTTCCTAAATCGGAAGGAAAGATTTTGTCTCTTTATGCCAACATACAGCTGTAAAACAGATGGTAAAATGTGGCAATATAAAATATGGAAGTCAAGACAGTGGTTATATCAAAATTTTTCTGTATGTTATGTTTAGCTTTCAGGTGCGGGCTCACACCTTTAATCCTGTGTTAATTTGGGAGGCCAAGGTGGGCAGATCACTTGAGGTCAGGAGTTCAGATCAGCCTGGACAGTATGGTAAACTCATCTCGACAAAAATATGAAAAATTAGCCAGGTGTGGTGGTGCATGCTTGTAATCCCAACTACTAGCCTGTAATACCCATCACTATGCAGGCTGATAAGAGAACTCAGCTTGAACTCGGGAGGCTGGGAGTCTGGTGAGCCGAGATTGCACCATTGCATTCCAGACTGGTGATAGATGAGACTCCGTCTCAAAATAAACAAACAAGAAACCTTTTCATTGGGGACAGACAGAGCCTGCCTTTCCTGGGGCCGGGCCAGTTCTTAAGAGACAGCGAAGACTGAGCTGGGTACGCTTTGATACGCAGGAAACTAGCCAGAGCCGGGCCTCTCTCTCAGTCCCACACACCCAGGAGCGACATTCCTCTGCCTTTCATCATCCCGGGCCGAGCACTGAAACTTAGGAGCCCCTCTGCCCCCACTGTCCTTATAGCTTAGAGCCCACTGAAATTACACAAACGAGCCAGTCTAAACCATTCACTCCTGCCCTGCCTTCCCTCAGAAACTCCAAAGAAAGGTTTGGTTTACAAGCCTCTACTCCTTTCGCCGACTCCCTGTCTTCTGCCTCCTGAACACCCTGGTGCCTGGGCCCATATGGCCCTGTGTGGCCTGCCCTGTCTCCTGTCTCTAGGAGAGGAGTATATTTGTTATCCTGAGCCTCTCCTCTGCCTCTTCGGCTCCATTTCACTGACTACTCCTAAATAGAATACAAAACAGGATGGAAGCACAGTTTGCGTGTAATTGTGGGGATTAAATGAAGGAATATATGTATGTCTCTTATAACAGGGCATCTGTACCAGGTATACCTCAAATGTGAACTGTTAGGCCCCAGTGATGGGGTACAGCCTTTATATTCCACAGCATGAAACCTCCAGCTTTCGAGGACCAAAGGGGGCTTCGAAGTGGTCACTGTTGGGGGTTCAGCCAGGCTGGCTACAGAGAGAAACACTGGAATGCTGGCCATGTAATAGTGTCATCTAACGATAACCAGGTGACAAAAATACAACTTGTGGCATCTGAAACTGGGCACTTTTTCATTTTATTTCAGAAAGACAATAATTGATGAATAATTATTATCAACATTTTTTTAAGGATAGTGATGTGGCTGAGGCAGATGGATCACCTGAGGTCAGGAGTTCAAGACCAGCCTGACCAACATGGTGAAACCCCGCCTCTACTAAAAATACAAAAATTAGCCGGCGTGGTGGTGAGAGGTGCACCTATAATCCTAAGCTACTTGGGAGAATCGCGAACCCAGGAGGCAGAGGCTGCAGGAGCCAAGATTGCGCCAGTACTGCACTGCAGCCTGCCAGAGTGAGACTCCAATGTGGCACAGAGTTATGCAGTGCATGGTGCATACATAAGTGAAGGAAAGAAGGAAGGAAGGAAAGAAGGGAAGGGGGCAGAAAGAAAGCGAGAGACAGCGAGAGAGAGACCAGAGAAAGAAATAAAGAAAAAGAAAGAAAAAGAAAGAAAGAGTGGCTGGAAAGAGGCATACAGGAAAGTAGGCAAAGGAAAGAAAGAAAGAAAGAAAGAAAGAAAGAAAGAAAGAAAGAAAGAAAGAAAGAGAAAGGAAGGAAGGAAGGAAGGAAGGAAGGAAGGAAGGAAGGAGGGAAGGAAGGAAGGAAGAGAAAGAGAGAGAGAGAGAGAGTGGCATGTGGTACACAGGGTGGCAGATGGAACACAGGGAGTATGAGCGCCACCCAGTGCTGGCACCTGCAGAGGATGACCATCAGCACCGCCAAGAGGTCCTTGAGTGATCAGAAACAACCAAGCTTGCATTCTTTTCCCTTCACAAACTGTTATAAAAATATTCAAATTGCCAAAGATCTATTTAGCAGGAGTTGAGGTGTGCCAAGAAGCAGGGAGCCCTCCAACTGTAGGACAGAGGAGGGTGAGAGACGGATGTCTCCATACTGTGCTGCTGACTAAGCCAGTGCTATAGGGGAGGGTGGGGCAAAGCGCAAAGGAACAGGAAGGAAAGGAGAGGAATCAAACAGGGGGAGGCTATGGCATTCTTGGATTAAGTTTGAATTAAATTGTTTTCTCCACCAAAATCATTCAGTTTAAAGCAATTTTGTTCCAAGACTGAGACTCGGGCACAGTAACCTGGAAGGCTGAGTCTGCTGCAGGGACAAAGTGCTGTTCTAGAAGCAGTTAGTGAATATGGAGGAAGGTAACGTCTTAGAGAGGCCACTGTCAAAACTGGGCAAACAGGCAGGCAGGGAGAAAGAACCCAGATGACAAATCAGTCAGCTGGAGATGAGGGGCACCCAGCAGGAGATGGGCAGAGGAATCTGAAAGGGGAAATTTGAAGCAATTTTTTTTTTTTTCTATAACGAGGAGGCAGTTTCAGTGGCTGTTCCCAGAAGCCCATAGAAATGAAGAACCTGTCAAAGTCTGGATGCTAATTCCCTCCTCAAACTGGGCAGTGGAGCTGGCACCGCGATGGCTCTCAGAAGGCTCCGAGATGGGAGGAGAGGCCAGGAGCTGCTTCTCAGGCTCTTACCTTTTTCTACGGCCCAGGTGAGGGGGCGGGGAGACTGGCCTCACGTGAAGGTCACGGTCACGGTGTGCCGGAACAGTCTTGTGCACTGCATGAAGCAGGCGCAGGCCGGGCCTGTGAAGACGGAGCTGCTGAAGGTGGCACATCACCAGGTGGCCAAGGCTGTCCCTGAAGAGTCCCAAATCGTGGTCCTTCATCTTGCCACAGTTCGGCATGTCTACATGGCCATTAGGACTAGAAAAGCAAGGTATGAAATGAACTGCTTTTCCTAGGAAACACTGGCTGTTTGGGGATTAACCCAGCTGAAGGTGGGGTACAGAAAACTCCCTCAGTAGCTACTGAAATGTCTAACACTCCACAGATCAGCTGGTAGGAAAGACTGGCTGAAAAAGTCTTACTGCAGAGTCCTCAGAAATGTACTTTCAGGGGTTGAGCTGGGGCAGGTTAGAATACCACATCATCCACGTGAGAAAAGTATGGCTAGGACCCAAGCAATGTCCACTCCCCTAGTTGAGAAGGCTATGTAGTGAGCTCATAATCCGACAGTATAATACAATAAAGCCACTGCCTGGCCAAGTACTAGTACCATAAATATATTCAAGTCAGCCTGGGCACATCTAATAGGCCAGTGACTTACTTTTTGCCTTCCCAGCCAGGGATGAGTGAACAGGCATCTCGGAGGACTAATTTCGTAAAAACCTAAGCCTGATGGCAGGTGAACTCAGGGAGAATGCAATGTCATCTCAGATGGGGGGCCTTCAGGCTGCAATTAACGCTGCTGAACACAGTTCCTGGAGCCACGGCTGAGATGAATGAGATTCTTGATCTGGCTGTAGGCCTTGGCCCTGGCTCAACTGTAGGCACATACCAAGTACTGGTAGTTCTCATGCATTCATTAAAAATCAACCAACCAACCAACTCAGCTTAGAAACGTGCTTCTCAGAGATTCAAGGCAAGGGGGTAGTAGTGAAGACCTGGCACATTACATGGATAGGGGTGAAGGCAGACATCTGTAGCAGTGAACATGGTTTTTTCAGGTTTACTCTGGAATCTGAGGGTGTCAGCCGTGTGAAGCTGCAGATGAACTTCTGAGGGCATGGGACACAGGCAATCCCAAGAAACCTCTTGAAATACTGTTTCACATGCAGCTTAATAGGGGAGAAAGTCTGAGTTGCTGATCAGTTAACAGGAGATGCTGGCCCACAGAGGTGGCCTTTATTAGATGAAGGCTGAATTTAGATTACTTGGACTTTGAAGCTGCTGGAAGCTTCCAAGTCTGTGTTGCAACCCAGAGCCCACTGAGTTCTACCATGATAGAGAATATCCTCGTCTGTAACGTGGGGGTGAGGTGCTACATTCTGAGGGGTCAGCAGGTTGCTCAACTTGATGGACAGCACTTCCACAGACCAGGAACTTGCCACTTCACTTTCCAGAATAGTTTGCTTGGCCTCCCATCTTCATTGCATGATATGTTCCAGCTTGCAGTGGTGCAGACTCCTCCACTCCTTGTGGTAAGGAAAGGGAGAGGGCCCCCAGAGGCTGTGTGTGTGTGTGTGTGTATGATGGAGCACAGATGTTATTTATCTGTGTGATTTCTACTGAAAGCACTGAAGGATTAAAGATGGTGAAGGTGGCCGGGCGCCGTGGCTCACACCTGTAATCCCAGCACTTTGGGAGGCCGAGGTGGGCAGATCACAAGGTCAGGAGTTTGAGACCAGCCTGGCTCACACAGTGAAACCCAATCTCTACTAAAAATACAAAAAATTAGTTGGGCATGGTGGTGGGTGCCTGTAATCCTAGCTACTTGGGAGGCTGAGGCAGGAGAATCACTTGAACCCAGGAGGTAGAGGTCACAGTGAGCCGAGATCATGCCACTGCACTCCAGCCTGGGCGACAGTGCAAGACTCTGTCTCAAAAAAAAAAAGATGGTAAAGGAACCATACCTGCAGGACTACTGTACCACTCAAACTTTTGAACATGGACATGGCCCTTGCCAGAGAATGTCAATGGAGCTAGTGACCACTTCTTGACTCATGGAATTACTCAACATTTTTCTCACCACTGTCAGTATGAGTCTTTAAATAGTGGAAGGCCCAGATGGAGGAGAGGAAATGACCACTTCCAAATGCAAAAGCAGAAATTCAAAGCTGTCTGCTTTCCTATGAATATACAATTAATACCTCCAGAAACATAGAAAAAGCAGGGGAAGGACCAGGATGCAGCAGTTTATTCTGGGAGCAGGAAATGTACTCTAATGCAATGGACACAGTGGACTGTCCAGCCGGGGAAGAGTGGGTCAGAGCATTCTGAGAACTGGCCTTGGGGCTTTCACCTCTTGTATCAATTGCACATAGAGAAATGGGTAATGACAGAGGGAGGTGATTGGGAAAACTACAACTTACGTGGGTGGGATCATTGCACCTGAAGCTGAGCAAGTCCCTGACTGATGTGTACAGTCACTAAGTACAGAAGAATTGGAGGGTGAAGGCAGCATAGGCAAAGCCCCTCCTTCAGGTACCATCCCAGGGTCAGTCAAGCTGAAGCCCAGAGGAAATGCGTAACTCAAGAATTCTGATCAAGTTGTGCCTTCTAGACAGAGATACCAAGTTCTGAAGGCTGGATTTGGGTGTGATATTCAAAATTGTGGACTGTGACTGAGACCAGATCACCACGCTCCCCATGTGGGGCAGTGATAGGTGGCACCATCCAGACAGTTAGGAGTTGTTAAGTCAGAGAGGGTCATTTGGGGCAAATGAATCATCTCACAGGGATTCTACAGGGATTAAGCCAGCAGACACACAGACCAGAGAGATGTGACAAGGGATGGTTTGAAGCAGAAGGTGGTAAGCGTAATTTAAATAATTGGTGGTGGTGCATGGTGACTGCACTTTCTTTACACTGGGCGTCGGTGGTGTGGGTGAGGAGAGGACTAAGGTTTCCATTAAAGGTGGCAACTCTCTTATGGAAGAGAATCCAGTAGAGTGAAGTGCTTGCAGGCCATTTTACTTTTTTGTTCCTTTGCTTTTCAACTTTAATTTTTACAATTCCACAGTTTCTCTAATAGTCAAAATGTAATTTGATAAACCAATTTTAATGCTGTTAATGAAGCTCCATTTTGGTTCTGATACTTGGTAATTCAGACAAATCAAACAGTACTGCGATTTGAAGCAGTATTAAAGAATGAGGAGTGTTTGCCATTCTTCTTCTTCTTCTTTTTTTTTTTTGAGATGGAGTCTCACTCTATCACCCAGGCTGGAGTGCAGTGGTGTGCTCTCAGCTCACTGTAACCTCCACCTTCCGGGTTCACGCCATTCTCCTGCCTCAGCCTCCCTAGTAGCTGGGACTACAGGCACCTGCCACCACGCCTGGCTAATTTTTAGTATTTTTAGTAGAGAAGGAGTTTCACCATGCTAGCCAGGATGGTCTCGATCTCTTGACCTCGAGATCTGCCCACTCGGCCTCCCAAAGTGCTGGGATTACAGGCGTGAGCCACCGCACCTGGCTGAGTGTTTGCCATTCTTAAATGCCCAAACCCCATGACACTGTGGAAGTTGACCCTCAGTAAATAAAGTGACGATCTTGATGTAAGCTTTCATAGTCATTCTCTAGAATGGATTATCTTACATTCAATAATTAATCTACTCAGTCTCAAAGATCTTCCAGACAAACTGCACTCATGTCACTTTTCTCCAATATGATGTCTCTGATGTTGAATGAGGTTTGCAGTCTGGTTAAATGCTTTCCCACATTTGTTACATTTGTAGGGTTTCTCTCCTGTGTGAATCCTCTGATGTTGAGTAAGGTGGGTGCTTCGGATAAAGGCTTTCCCACAGATTTTACATTTGTAAGGTTTTTCTCTGGTATGAATTCTCTTGTGTTGGGTGAGGGCTGAATGGTCACTGAAGGCTTTTTCGCATATGTTGCATGTGTAAGGCTTCTCCCCGGTGTGAATCCTCTGATGCTGGGCTAGTGCTGATTGATCTCTGAAGGCTTTCTCGCACAAGCCACATCTGTACGGTTTCTCTCCAGTGTGAATTTTCCGATGTCGTGCAAAGGACGAATTATCCCTGAAAGCTTTCCCACATTCATTACATTTGTAAGGTTTCTCTCCAGTATGAATTCTCTGATGTTCAGTAAGGGAAGAGTTCACCCTGAAGGCCTTCCCACATTCATTACATTCAAAGGGTTTCTCTCCAGTGTGGATTCTCTGATGCTGAAGAAAACTTGTGCTCTGATTAAAGGCTTTTCCACATTCGTTGCATTTATAGGGTTTCTCTCCACTATGGATATTCTGGTGTTTGGTAAGATGTGCCCTGCACACAAAGGCTTTTTCACAAATGTTACATTTAAAAGGTTTCTCTCCAGTGTGTATTCTATGATGATGGGCAAGGTGTATATTTCGGATAAAAGCTTTTCCACATAAGTTGCATTCAAAAGGCTTCTCTCCAGTATGAATTTTCTGATGGTACGTAAGCGAGGAGCTCACTGAGAAGGCCTTGCCACATTCCTTACATTCATAGGGTTTCTCGCCGGTGTGAATTCTTTGGTGATGGATAAGGTGCGTACTCTGGTGAAAGGCTTTCCCACATTCTCTACATTCATATCTTTTCTCTTTAATATGAATTTTCTGATTTGGGTTTTTTTCAGTATGAATTTTCTGATGTTTATTAAGAGTTGAACTCTTAGAGAAGACTTTCCCACACTCACTACACTCAAAGGCATTTTTGCGAGGCTGGAATCCCTGACTTTGAGCACTGTGAGGAGATGAGCTCATAGTGCTGCCAGATTCATCCCATTCCTGTTCACCAATCCCAGACGGGGTGCTGGGGTGAGTGAGCACCGCTCGCTGCAAACTCATCTCCTGGCCTCCACACTGCCACCCCAGCAGGCTAGCACACTTCCAGTGACTGCTGCTGCGGAATCTTTCCTTTATCGTCCATTGGCCCAATTCTTCAGGAATCGCCACCCTGAGAGTAGATTTCTTACTGGCAGGCATAGTCATAGTCATCCAGTCTGAAACACATCAAAAATAAAAATGTCCGTTTTACCCTAGTAAAACATATGGATGGGGTGAGATGATGAGCCTGTTCATAATGCTAACAGGCAGGTTTCGAGTTTGAAGATTTTCCGAAGTAACAAGAAGAAAGGACAGAAAAGAGGGGTGAACAGGGGACTATGGCAGGGGTTGACCTCATGTATAATGTATGAGGCAGGAGAGCTTGGAAGCATGATCTTAGAAGTCACAGGCCTGGGTTAGAATTGAGTACAACACATATTTTCTTTGTGATAATAGGGAAGTTATCTGATTTTCTAAGCCTAAAACAAAAACAAAAACAAAAAATGGATAAAGACCACATGATGCTAACAGACAAGAAGTGCCCTGTCCATTCAAATGAGATGGTTTTTAAAACAACACAGATGTGGTCTTAAGAAACCACTGAAAATAGCAGTCAACACTTGGTAGAAAAACCTTGACTCTAGAGTAAACTAAAATCAACATATAGGCTCATTTAAGCATTCAGATGAATAATAAAAAGCCAGGCTGCTGTACAGGCTGTGTGAAATGTTCATATCTACTAAAATAATAAGGACCTCCTATTGCTTGTGAGGAAGCAATGTCTCCAAACCCGGATGAATAACGTGACACCAGGGGAGGACACTGTGCCATGAGACATTTTGTGGCAAAGTTATCTCAGGATAAACGCTGCAGCCGTAAGCACTGCCGGCAAGTATTCTCAGGGCAAACAGGAGAGAGGCTAAAATGTAATACTAAGGACTAGATTCTAAACACAAGTGATGCAAAATTCATGGGAAATCCTATCAAGAACAAGCCATCCTTATTACCTCCTTTTCCCACTCGCTCCAGAAAATCTTCTACAAAAAGGCACTCCTGGTATCTTTTTAGAATCAAAGAAACAAACCTCTTTACTTATTAGGAAAAGAAAGGTAAACAGGCACATTTCAAGACTAAAATCCTGTTGAGCTCAGAATAATATATCCCTGTTCAAAACAAAAAATGGTCAAAGTTAAACATCAGTATTGCCAAATGTCAAAATGTTGAGGACTGACTTTCACTTCCGGCCCAAAGAGAGTAGCCCGTGGCAGACCAACATTTCCGCAGAAACAACTAGAAAATCTGAACTGAAAAAAGTTATCTGTCTGAAGGCATGAGATGTCACCCAGGCCGACTTTATAGTCTAATATTTGGGAGAGAGTGAAAATATAGAGAGGCGATCCCAATACTCAGTGGCTTGTTACTCAAACATTTTATTGAATTCTTAAGGTTTACAGGGCAAAAGATTAACGTTAAGCAGAAATCCAGAATTTTCCAGTCTTTCGGTACAACAGAACCAGGACCTTCCAAGGAGAGGTCATGATAAACATGTGAAGCTCTCAGCTGGGACTCCTGCCGGGCTACAAAACTAGCAGCATGGGCAAACAAGCAGTTGACAAAGCTTTACAAATACTGTGACCAACCTCCAGCTATTCAGCCCTTGGCTGGAGTAGGATGGTTTGCTTGCACTCTAGCTGCTCCTAGGGAAGGTAAATCTTCTCTGGAAGAACAACATCTAGAGCCTCTGCTCTCTGTCACACATGGTGTCAGGGATGCAATAAAAAAAGGCCGGCTGTGCTAAGAAATTGAATGAAGAGGGAAAACAGACAATAGAAAAAGAACCTCAGAACACAGATACCAGAGTTATCAGATGTGAACGTTAAAACAACCGTGATTCACGTGTTCAAGGAAACAGGAATGAGAATTACAACAAAGAATTGGAACAGAATAATCAAATGGAAATTCTAGAACTGAGAAATACAGTAACTGAAATTATGAATTCAGTAGTCTTTAACAAGATATCAAACACAGCAGAAGAGAGGAACAGTGAGCTACAAAAATACATAAGCAGAAAATATCCATAGTAACACATGGCTAAAAAGATAAACACTATTTAAAAAGAAAAAGGCTGAAAAATGAACTCTGAGAAGGGTTATAAACTCTAAGGGTAACTACAAAGAAAATTCACCTAGGCACTACTGAAAACCAAAGATTAACTTGAAAGTTGCTTGGAAAAAAAAAATAATACATTACCTTTGAAAAAGCAAAATTAAGACTGGCAGTGTCTTAATGAAAACAATGGAACCCAGAAGACAATGAAGTAACATCTGAAATGTTGAAAGAACTGAACTGTCAAGCTAGAATTCAACACACAGAGAAAATATCTCCAAAAATCAAGCATGAAGTAGATGTTTCCATACAAATAAAAACAGAGATGGTGTCACCAGCAGATCTACATTAAAAGAAACACAGATGTGTTCCAGGTAGAAGAAAAATAATCCCAGGTGGAAATATGAAAATGTAAGAAGGCATGAAAAGCAATGGAAAAGTTAAATATGTGGATAAATAAAAATACAATTGATTACATGAGACAATAATTATAATGTCTTAATGGATTGCAAATATATGTGTAATTAAAATACATAGCAAAAATAAAGGTAGAAGGAAGAAAATGCTGTTAATTTTTTTTTTTTTTTGAGACTGAGTCTCGCTCTGTTGCCCAGGCTGGAGTGCAGTGGTGATCTTGGCTGACTGCAACCTCTGCCTCCTGGATTCAAGCGATTCTCCTGCCTCAGCCTCCTGAGTAGCTGGGACTACAGGTGCACGCTGCCATGCCCAGCTAATTTTTTTTGTATTTTAGTAGAGACAGGGTTTCACTGTGTTGCCCAGGCTGGTTGTGAACTCCTGAGCTCTGGCAATCTGCCTGCCTTGACCTCCCAAAGTGCTGGGATTACAGGCATGAGCCACCATGCCTGGCCAAAAATACTGTTAATTTTTAAGATTGTACCACTGTCTGGGAATTATTAAAAGTAAAAATTTATTTTGGACAGTAACAAGCTGGTTTTATTTATTAGCATTAACAATAAAAGACTAAGTAAAGAAGGTTAATTAACAAGCTAATACAGAGTAAAAATGGCACAATAAAAAGATTTAATCCAGTAGAAGGAAGGAAAAAAGGATAAGGGATTTAAAGTAAGTAAGTGAAATATAAAATAAATAATAGGACAGTAGATATAAAATCCCATACGTAGTAACTTACCTAAGTTATTTTTAAAAACTAAGATTGTGTTAGTTTTTAAGTTTAAGGTGTGGTGGCTCTCGCCTGTAATCCCAGCACTTTGGGAGGCTGAGGTGGGCAAATCACGAGTTCAAGAGATTGAGACCATCATGGCCAACACGGTGAAACCCCGTCTCTACTAAAAATACAAAAATTAGCTGGGCGTGGTGGTGGGTGCCTGTAATCCCAGCTACTCGGGAGGCTGAGGCAGAAGAATCGCTTGAACCTGGGAGGCAGAGGTTGCAGTGAGCTGAGATCATGCCACTGCACTCCAGCCTGGTGACAGAGTGAGACTCCATCTAAAAAAAAAAAAAAAAAAAAAAAAAAAGATTGTGAGACTGGATAAACAAATAAAACATAATTGAATATCACTATATCACTTAGAAAAGAAATACCAAAAATGTAGACACTGAAATAATAAAAGAATTAAAAAGGATATATCTTACAAAAGAAAGGTGCTATATCCATACTAATAACAGACAAATCACATAGTATTTGAGAAAATAGACTTTAAGGTATTTTATATAGACAAAAGGGTCAGTTCTCCAGGAATAGACAACAAATTTTCATTTGTATGCACACAACATAACTTTAAAAATGTATAAATGAAAAATAGAATAAAAAGGAAAAATAGATAAAGCAATCATCACAGTGAAATATGTTCATATGGCACCCTCAATGACTCAGAAATCAAACCATTAAAAAAAGGAATGGGCTGGCCAGGTGTGGTGGCTCATGCCTGTAATCCCAGCACTTTGGGAGGCCAAGGCAGGTGGATCACCTGAGGTCGGGAGTTTGAGACCAGCCTGACCAACAAGGAGAAACCCCATCTCTACTAAAAATACAAAATTAGCCGGGCATGGTAGCGCACACCTATAATCCCAACTACTCAGGAGGCTGAGGCAGGAGAATCCCTTGAACCTGGGAGATAGAAGTTGCAGTGAGCCAAGATCGTTCCATTGCACTCTAGCCTGGGCAACGGGAGTGAAACTACGTTTCAAAAAAAAAAAAAAAAAAAAAAAGAAAAGGAATGGGCTGGGCGTAGTGCCTCATGCTCGTAATCCCAGTACTTTGGGAGGCCAAGGCAGGAGGACCACTTGAGTCTAGGAGTCCAAGACCTGCCTGGGCAATATGGTGAAACCTTATCTCTACAAAAAATTTTAAAAGTCAGCCAGGCATGGTGATGTGTTCCTGTAGTCCCAACTACTCAGGAGGCTGAAGCGGGAGGATCGCCTGAGCCCAGGAGTTCAAGGTTGCAGTAAACTATGATCACACCACTGCACTCCAGCCTGGGCAACAGAGCAAGAACTTGTCTCAAAAAAAAAAAAAAAAAGAAAAGAAAAAAGAAAAGAAGAAAAACAAAAGTAAAAGAGAAAAAGGGGGCCGGGCGTTGTGGCTCACACCTGTAATCCCAGCACTTTGGGAGGCAGAGGCAGATAGATCATGAGGTCAGGAGATCGAGACTATCCTGACTAACATGGTGAAAACCTGTCTCTACTAAAAATACAAAAAATTAGCCGGGCGTGGTGGCAGGTGACTGTAGTCCCAGCTACTCGGGAGGCTGAGGCAGGAGAATGGTGTGAACCTGGGAGGCAGAGCTTGCAGCGAGCCGAGATCATGTCATTGCACTCCAGCCTGGGTGACAGCGAGACTCTGTCTCAAAAAAAAAAAAAAAAAAATGATCTCAACAACCCAATAAATGCATTTGACTTCAAATTCTCAACTGTCCCCCATTAATCTACACTTTCAGCCCAATTCTTATCAAAATTCCAGCAGGAATTTTGTGAAAATTGAATAGCCAATTCTAAAATTCTAAGAGGAAAGGACAAAACTGGAGAATTTACATCAGCAAGTGTAAGGCTTATTACAATGCTAGAGTAATTAAGCAATGTTGTGTTGGCA